CAGTGGTCTGCAAAAAATGCAATTCTTGGCACATTAGAAACCAAAACAAAATGCCAAATGATAAGATAATTACTTATAATAATAATTATACCTATAATAATTAAGGATGTGCAAAATGTTTCCTGTTCAAATGTTTTTGAATTTAAATTGCCCCTTTTTAAGTATAGCTGGGGTCATTTTTGAAATGTTTTTAATTAAAACTGTACAGAATGTTTTTAATGTGAGATGGGGCATTTTCAGAGGTGGTATTCAGCAGGTTCTGAACAGTTCTGGAGAACCAGTAGCAGAAATTTTGAGTAGTTCAGAGAACTGGCAAATACCACCTCTGCTGGCCCTGCCCCCATCTATTCTCTGCCTCCCAAGTCCCACCTGATCGGCTGGGTCTTCTTTTGTGCCCTGCACAGGAGAATGGAGCTGGAAAGCAGGTTAGTGGGGTGGGAAGGGAATGGGATTTTGCAGTAATCTTCCCCCAGGAGTGGGGAGGGAATAGAGCTTTTACAGTATCCTTTCCCTGGAATGGGGTGGGAATGGAAATTTTACAGTATCTTTCCCCTGGAGTAGGGTGAGAATGGAGATTTTACAGTATCCTTCTCCTGCCACGCCCATCAAATCATGCCCGTCAAGCCATGCCCACAGAACCAGTAGTAAAAAAAATTGAATCCCACCATTAAGCATTTTGTATTTGACCCAGGACATCTTAAAATGAAAACTTCAATTAAAAATCTGCATGCAGATTCATAAAGTGCACTTCTGGGCTTTATATGAATATAATGGACAAGTCCTGACGACAAAACAGTTATAAAACAATCCATAAAAATGCATATGTAAGATAGTTACTGCATTTGGTTCTGTACCAATGAATATATTGCATTAAAATCTCACTAAGCATCTTATCTTTTGCATCCACACATGCCAATATGTGAATCATGGTGCCTTTCCCAAACCTGGTATGAACAGGTTAAGGGAATTCTTTATTGTCATAATTAAACTTGCTTGCATAAGCTTTATAAAGTAAATTTTATGCTTCTCAGGCAATATCCTTTAATTCATTTTTTTTCTTTAATTCATTTCAATTAAATCTTTTAATACATTGAAATATTTGGCTTTTTGCTTGCAGGTAATGCATATTAATTTCATGCTATATTTTAATTACAGCATTAACTTTTTATACACTGAATATTCTGCATTAAAAATATGCAATTGGTATTCAGTTATTTTCTTTGCATTTGAAATGTGTATAACAGCTCAAAATAATCATATTTCCCCCTATATTTAGATAGGGTAGGTTGCTTGAAGGTAGAATATGATTTATTTTTATCGTTTATTAATTGATATGTTTGCCCATATTATTATAAAAGCAACTCTGGGGGAGAGAGGTTTCAGCAGAATAGAAGCCTGATTATAAAATCATGCAACCATTAAGAACATTAAAAAACATTAAAATTAACAAGGATTGGATAAAACTAGGAAGCAGTATTCAAACAGAATGGAGTTGGAGCTTTTTTCTTAGTCCACTAGCCACCTCCATCGTGGTGCATTCCCTTTGGGGTCCAATTCAAACAGTAGATCCACTTTTCAGGCCCTTTCAAAGCCAAGAGGGTGGGTGACGATTTCCAGCAACTTCGTGTTCTGGAGGTGAGAGCCATGGCAGCAAAAGCTCTTCTCTGGATCCTGCCAGCCAAAGTTCCTTGACCAACAGGGTTTGCAGCTTGTCCCTTCTGCCAGAGTGAGTGGGATGGGCCAACCCATTGGGGTGAAATGGTTCCTCAGGTAATCTGGTCACATGCCATGAAAGGCTTTAACCAACACTCCCAATGGCTTAACAATCAGGGAGAAAAACTTAGGAAGGATTCGCCATAATGGATCAAGCAGTTAAATATGGCAGTGAGAAGTTTATACTTTAAGACTTACAAGATTCTATTAATGTAGCCACACCATGAAATAGCATGCAGTCATATTTTCTGTCTTGTTTACATGGGAGGACTGACATCAGCCTTGCAAGATTGAGAGCACCAATTTCCAGCCACTGTTCTCAACTGCTAGATCCATTAGGGCAGGTTTTTCCTAAGTTCCTTTTTCTGACTGCCAAGCCACTGTAAATTCCTGCCTCTCTTGTATGATTGTTTTCTAGGCAGCATCTCTTCCCCTGTTTCCAAAAGTCATCCACGCATTCTGTTACAATAATTTAAGCACTGAAGTGAACATATTTCATGTATGAAATGGCAGTTACATAGACTTAATGTAGGCTCACTTCAGCTATTTATAGACACTAAATGTTTGGTTAAATTGCTTAAGGAATTTAAAATTTTGGGAGTTACAAGGAGACGCCTACAGAGTACCAGCTTGCAGAAAAAGATCTAGATAGAAACAATGGCCATGTTCTGTAAAAATGATAAAAGTGTAGAAATTTAAAATTCCTTCCTTCCTTCCTTCCTTCCTTCCTTCCTTCCTTCCTTCCTTCCTT